ATTTTTTTGGTAAAGAGTAATAAGTTCTGAATTAACATCTTGTCTTGAACTAAGATTATAACACAAATCTTTGAATAGGCTTTTCTCTTTTGAAACTGTTACTTCTTTAGAATACCTTATATACATACATATGTAATATAAATACAAATATTATCTTCTCAATATATTCTAAAATTTTAAAGTGTATACATATATGTATAAATCATCTAGAGACCATGGATTTAAGATAATTTGTAAAAGAAAATGCAAATTTATATTCCTAAATTTGACATTTTTTTGTGCTTTCAAAGTATTTATTTTCTCTTGGAGAATTACATTTATTTACTGTAATCATTGAAATTGTTGCATAATTGACATATAACATCAAATGATATTTGCTCAACTAGCCAAAAAGACTTTGAAACTGCCTTAAACATTACAATTGGTATAAAACAATGTAACCAATACAAATGTTTAGACCAAGTCAAATGGAGATACTTCTAAATTTGTATCTATGAATTGCATTTGCTGAGGAAGTAAATTTGGATCCATTTGTAACTTACCTAATTCACACCATTCATTATCTCACATTTGAATCTTCTAATGCTTAACAAGAATGCAATTTACTTCCTCTCATAAAAAAATGAGAAAATGTAATTTAATACAGGCATACTGCTAACAATACGTTGTATCTCATCATCTCTTGGTCTGCATTTCTAGCAGAACCCAACCATATGTCACCCTAATTCCATGAATGTCAAGCAAGTTACAAATGTAAGAGGCAAGCAGAAGATGGATGGATGAAATATACACCGTAACCCAAATGGATGATCGAAATGGATGAATGGAGAGAACGAGATGAAAGAGTATGTGAATGCGAGGGAGGGAGTGGTGTTCATGACGCGCTCGATGCCCATTCATGGGCATCGTTCACCCTGGCAACCAAGATTCTCGTCGTCGTCGTACCCACGCGTGTACTTGAGGTGGGCGTTACTGGCGATCCGTTCTTAACCGATCTGTGGCGTTGATTCATGTTGGTTCTGGTTTTATTATTATTTTTATTTTTATTATTTTTTCCTCCTGGGGCCCTTCTTTTCCTTTCACTTACTTCCAAGTCCCTGTCGCTCGTTGCTTGTCGCTTCTGCAAGCGTTGTTTTCGCCATAATATTGTTGGTCCGGCCGTTGCAGAGGCCTCGGTCCATATGTCCAGCCTTGAGTGTGACCATCTGCTGGCTGCAAATGAGCCCGCTGGAGTCGAGATGGCTGGTGAACCGTTGTCGAATTCTATTGGAAGATTGTGAACATTTCGCACCACTGGCATCATGTGAGCCGGGCACAGGGCTTTCTGAGGCATCCTTTGCGGAGGGAGCCTAGAAATGGATGACATCGACCAAGTCAGACCATTCCCTCCTTCTTCGATTACCGTAATAGGAACCTCTTGGACAGATGTTGCAGGGCGCAGGGGGAGATTCAATAAGGTTGACAAAGACAACGTGATTCAATGCTGGTGCAGATAGGCCTAGGCGACATCGCCGATAGCCACCCCCAGCTGGTCGAACTTGAGACCGCCACCACTCGGGGGGATGGCAGGGAACTGGGGAACCTGATATTTATTTTCGCTGCTCATGTTTGAGTGCTTTGTCTGGGAGAAGTAAATTGCACTGCCGATGCCACATGGGCCAGTCTGGAACTCAAGGTGACATATGCTCTGTTGCATGCCACTAAATGAAGTTGCTGATGCCGAAGTAAAGCAGGCTTTAGGGTTTTTGCTGAGAGCTTCCCTCTATGTGAACAGATCGTGTACTATGTTCCCCAGCTTTTCTCGAAGCGCCCATGTGACATCCAGCGCAGCGAAAGCAACAGATTGAATGGCACTCGTGCAGGGATCATCATCACCTTGAAGAACCTTGAGAGCTTCACCGACTTCGGCACCAACATAATCATTGCGGGCATTGCCATCCACTTGACAAGACGCTGGGCAGCATCTTTTCACGCTCAAACATTGGCACCCACGTGAATTTTCCTTCACCGAGCAGTAAACGAAAGTTACTTTGCACCCAATTGAATCCACTGACCTATCCAATTCCAGCTTTATTTTACGAACGTCATGACACTAATTCACTATTTTGGGAGCAGGAAAGCTCATTGCTTTTCGAACCACTGAAAACTACTTCGAATATGTGGATGTGTTGGAGGTGTTGGTGTAACTGGGGAAGAGCAGTAAGGGCGAGAGGAAGAGCGAGAGAGAAAGTGAGAGGACTAGTAGGTTGAATTGTAGCGCTAGAATGTTCGGCTCTGATTCGCGGGGGTCATCTCGGTTTCACCGACATGAGCGTGATACCCAGCGAAATGTCAGGTGGGCAAATCTTTACGACCAACTGCACACCAGGGCCGGGGGGGGGGGGGATGTGTTGGTCAGGCTGTAGAGTCTGAAAGAGTCCACGGAGTGTAGTAATATGGATTAGCGATTGGGCTGTCAGTGTTGACTGCGCAATTTGTGGGGCACCGTAATATCACAACAGTTCTACAATTTTTACGTTTTTTTGTTTCGAACTGAGCACATGTCCATGTCTCAGAGGCTGTAACTATTGGATTGCGTGCTGCCCTCGGAATCTTCGGTTACTCGAATGTGCGAGTCTTTCACACTCAGGATCAAGTGTGTATCCTGGAGTACAACAATGGAATCGTAGCCATCGTCCTCGCTCAATTACCGATGCAGACTTAGAGATGGAACAATATTCAATCGGATATTGCATCTGGATAGATGGCAAAGATAGCTTCCCGATACAATGTGCTCCTTGCAATACTTCCCGAAACGAATTCAATCCAATCGATTCACAAGTATTCTCGGCATGCTGGGTCACGTTAAGACGAAGGGCTAACCAGCACCTAGATGCGTGACCCTATCCTGTATGGGATTCTTCTGGGTCACGACGCCCCGCATTGAAGTATTGAAACCAGTGCCTTGAGGTATTCTCAGTTAGCAACAGAGGCCACACCCGGTTCCGCGTCGACATTTTAGTTATCGAGATTCTTCCTCCAAGGGCGCCTCTTCTGATCTCGAAGGTGGACGACCGAAACCAACACCGCATGAACAGTTGCGAAGCTTCTAGAAGCCTAATCAGAGGATTAAATCCGATTTATCTGATAACCACTCAATATAATTATAGCCGAAAACATGAGTCTCATCTCGTCGAGATATTGACGAATTAGGAAAGATAATCACCATCAAATAAACAACAAGGAAAAGAACGAGGAAGGGAGGGAGGGGGAGAAAGCGGGGGAGGTGGTACGATCCAATGTGAGTGCCATGAATCCAGCCAAGCAATCCCGCAACACGTGAGAGAGCAATAGTCAACTGAGACAGTAAAAGAAAAGAAAAGAAAAGAACGGCACACACACACACTCTAGCAATCCTGATTTTGGGTGGTTCTCTGTGGCTGGTGGGAGGACCTGCGGAGGAGGAGGCACCCAGCACTGACAGCCTTGGCGACACCCTTCCATTCCTTGGCGACGCAGAGTCACTAAAAACAGAGGCAGGCCCCACCAAATTTAGAGGAGAGGAGAGGAGAGGGGGGGGGGGTCAAGAGTGGCGGTCACTCTTCAAACCCAGACTGCTCCTGGCTGCTCCTGCGACTCATGACCCCCACCTCTGCCGCCGTCTCTGCCGCCCCGTGCCGCTCTGTGCCGCTGACGTTGCGGGCACTGCACCCCGAGCGTCGGGGTCCGCGTATGGTTCTGCGAGCGAGGAGCTTACAAGTGTCCGTTCCTTTGCTAATCCCAGGCCGACAACCGACCACTCGGGCAGATTTTCAGGCCAGCCCGTTGCTGCCCGCCCACTTTTGCCCCGGTGGACTTGCATGGAGCCTCGCCCACTAAGCCACCCTCTCCAGCATGGGAGGGAGGGAGGGCGAATGGTGGGTGGGTGTGAGTGAGTGATTGAGTGTTAGTGACATGGGTAGTTTAGTAATAGTTTATTTTTTATTTTTTATTTTGTTTGCGGCTTCTTTATACTAGGTTGATTTTCAAAATTTATCAACAACGTACTGTAAAAAAAAAAAAAAAAATTTAAAAAAAAAAATCCTCGTGTTCTTTTAGATCTATAGTTTTTGGTGGAGATGTCAGTTTAACTGCAAAATGTATACACAAGTTCTACATTTTCCAGGTTTCATCAAAATCCTCCAGTAAGTTAAACCTTAAGGGGGCTGTCAACCAATTCATTGAAATCTTATCCACAATATACCAAATCCAGAGTATTCTGTTCTAACACACAGTGTAGACATGGTTATGAAAGTCCACAAGTATGACATCAAGTTGTCAAAAGGACAGAACGTGTGTCAAGGGGCAATGCTGGTTATGAAGACAAACAGTCCATCTCATGTTAGGAGTGAGTAAAATAAAAACATTGAGGGAGAGTCTGATGGGATGGGATCCCGGAGTGACCGAGGGGGAAAGGGTGCTCCAGGGGGGCAGCCATGCCGCAAGGGCCGAGTTGGGAGGAGGGCCCCACCCAAGTGGAGATGGAGATGGAGTGAAGTGGAGAAGAGTGAGCTCTGCACCCTCCCCTTCCCTCCCGAATGCCAGAACACCAGAACACCAGGGTGTGGCAGGGCAGGGCAGCGCAGCCCAAGGCACCGACACATGTGGTGAAAAATGGCAAAACCACTTCTTTTCCTGATAAGGGGATTCTCATCCTGAATCCTCCACGGATCCCCCGCCTCCACCCCCCCCCCCTCCTTACGCCTCCTGTTCCTCTGCTTCTTCTATTTACTTCATCTCTCTTCTGGGAGTGCTGCTTCTGCTATCCTACTAATAGGCGTCTGCGTCCCCCTACCTCCGCGGTCCCCTGACAGAAAAAACTCCTCGCCATCCAGGCGCCCAAGCACACGTTATTGACAGCGTTGTCAGGGTTCACCAGTGGCTCGAGGGGGTTGTTACCTTGTAAGGTAGAATCATGTAACGAGGGAAGGGAAAAGCCACAGCTATTATAAAAAGCCTACGGTGTCGTTTCAGAGGTAACAGTGTCTGCCAGAGAATCCTGCTGCTGATGTAGAGTGGAGAACAAAGCTCCAACGCTGGTTCCAGGCTCGTGCTGTATGGACATCGTCTTCGCAGGAATAGAACCACTGGTGTCCAGCTTTCTGTGTCCGTCTGTGTTGTGTCTACAACTCGCGTTTGGTCTGATCGACAAAGGCTTAGGTACGTCACTGCAGATCATCTCCCGATTCAACGAGTGCTCTACAAAGGCTTTTGACCGGTGCCACGAGTAGTCTGAGCAGCGGACTTTGGGCTGCGGTGTGGAAGTGTGCTGCAGTGCTTCGTCATTGCAGCAGCTTCCATCCTAATGTCGACTTATCTGAGTCTGTATGATATCTGTCTTCGCCGTGCTGAGCTGCCAGCACCTCGAGCGTGATCCTGCTGGTGAGCGTTCACATTGTACGGGACTGGAACAAACGCGTGGTCCTTCGATTGCAGTGGACTGTTTGGCGAGATCGAAGTGGGGCAGAGCATGTCGAATGCAATAGCGCACTCAGTTATAAGTAGCACTATCCTATCAGCTTGTAAGATTGATACGAAGTCTCAGCATCTGTTGTAGGCACCCGCGCAGAAGGTCGCGTGGTGCATTCCCCTTCCAACCTTGCGAGGTTCCACTGGTTCTGTTCGAAGTTTAAGTTTGTGTTTGGTCGAAGTCTGTGGCTTTGCACACCTGATCTAGATCGAAGCCACACAGAGAAGGAGAGAGAGAATGCGGCGAATGAACAAGTTTCCCAAGTTCGTAGAGTCGAACTAGCATTGTGTGTCTAGTCTTCGCTGATCTAGGAGTTTCGTTTGAACCCTAGAGAACTCGTTGGACATGGAGCATTTGTTTAGGAACGCGTTTGCAAATCTAGCTAGAACCTCTTGGTCCGCCAAAGTCTACGGCTGGCTTTCTGTTAGTCTGATTATTGACATGGTGAATTGTATGCTGCAGGCTGAGGATATCAATGTGGGCGCGATCAATTCAGCGTTGGAATAAGTTGAGGGCAAGGTGAATACGCAGGCGGCCATATCAAAGAATCAACTATCCTTGTCTCAAAGTGGAGATGGCAATCACTAGCATGGGACACTACAGCGGCCAGAATGAAGTATTTACGGGGAATGGGAATACCTCTGATTCGTTTGCGGCAATGATCGGACCCTGCTCCCCTCATGTAGATCTTCAAGGTTTGCGTCGATCTTAACCAAATCCGTAATTGAGCATCATAACCTAGCGGGTGTGGAGCGGTGGGATTTGGGATATTTTACGGGCTGCATCTTCGGCCTGATGAACTTACGGAAGTGTTTATCCGTGTGTTGGTTTTCACAGCACTACGAAGGAGTGGAGGGGGTTTGGGAGATGATGGCCAATCGCAAGGAGGTGGACAGAAGCGGCGTTACTTCGCCAGCTACGACGCCCCCAAGATGGAAGATGGACCGGAAGATGCGGACGAGGGCACTGAAGATGGCACGGGAAATGGGTCACAGCTGGAGAAGAAGCGGAGGCTGACGATAGAACAAGTCAGGTCGCTTGAGAAAAATTTTGAAGCGGAGAATAAGCTGGAACCTGAAAGGAAAATGAGGTTGGCCAAGGAGCTGGGACTGCGACCGCGTCAAGTGGCGATCTGGTTTCAGAACCGACGCGCGCGCTGGAAGACAAAACAGTTGGAGCGCGACTATGAGACGCTGGAATCGGACTACAAGAGACTCAAGGCGGATTACGAGCAAGTATTGAGTGAGAAGAATCACTTGAAGGCCGAGGTGAAGAACTAGGTCCTTATTATTCTTGTCGTCTGTCGTCGCTCTAGTTTACTTGTGTGGATAGCAACATGTTTGCACTTTGTGTGCTGATTGTTTTCGTTAGTTTTCTTTCGAACAGCTTCAACGGAAATCCAGAGACGTTCCAGCATCCAAACAAGATGATAACAATCTAGGCTTGGAGTCCATCCAAACTCCTGAAAGAGACCGACATGTGTCAGATTCTGATGCAAGGCAGCTCAACTCCAGGTCGTCTCCGACAGTAGACATCTCCCGTGTGAAAGACGAGATAAGCGGCAGCACCGATGGGAACTCCAGCGACATCGTAGACGCGGACAGCCCTCGAACCACAAACAGCAGTCGAAAATCAGTGATACAGAGCTCCGACTTCCCGCCCGAGAGCTTGATGGGACACCCTCAATTGCTAGACACCTATCCTGAAGAGAAGATACGATTAGACACCGCCGTAAAACTGGAGGACAATTTTCATGAAGACCAGTCATGTAATTATCTTCTGCTCCATCTGGACCAGCAAAGCGGGGTCCTCCCGTGGTGGGACTGGCCATGAATCAACGTCCACGAGTTCATGTACATACTATTCCACATGATTTCACCTCAAATTTCTATGAGGAGCCACTCATCCCTAATAGGACCGAGACACCACCACTAACAAATCAGCTGGATTAGGATTCGATGTTAACAACCTGCAGTCATCCTCCACCTGGGCTCGGAATTCGGTGAGCGCTATGACTTGTAGATTGGCTCTTGTAAATAATTATCAGATGCTTGAGCAATCGAATTTGCAGTAATTTGGCCTCGCACTGAAATAAATGAGTTTTTCGATACATTTCCATGCATGTCTTACTGCACTGTTACTCTGCTTGTGATTTCAATATCTACTGCCTAATACCCGAATTATACGTTTTCTTAGTGATTTGTTGAACAACAAAGTTGTGTCTTTCTTGCCCGAGTCTCCAACACTCTGACGTCGTGACGCTGTCGATTATGAAATTGGTGTCTTTCCTTTGGCGCTCGCGCAGATTCGTCAATTGCAGAGTTGCAAGTGCGGAGGAACATATCCCCTGCCAACCTTGAAAATGTCATGAGTGTTTCGAGTAGTTCGTAGGCAGTATCTGCCGTAATTGGTCATGTCTTAGCAGCGAAACTGACTACGTACCTTGAATTGAATAGCAGAAATTACCCCTAGCTGATTTTGTAACAAATTCGTTCGAGTTTGAATTTATCGTTGGGGGAGAAGGGCTTATTACCAACGGTACAGGGTGACGCAGTGTTCGAGGAGAAAGTCGAGAGCAACCCGTTTAGACTCCATCATCTCTTTATGTAGTTCATTAGTACCTTATTTTTCTGTCACTTCTGTCGTCTCTATACTGCCACCAGTTTTTTTGGACCTTGTCTTTCTACATTTTCACATTTGAATTCGTAATTTGGACATTTCACCACGGGCCGGTGTGAAAGTAGAGAATCGTAATTCTTGACTACGGAGATTTTACAGTGAATTGAATAGCCCATGGTCAACTAATTTTGGACCCAGCAGACATTTCTTTTGAATTGGTGAGATGCTTGAATTGGAAGTGCTATCTAGGACAATGTTGAATCGAAGTCTTTGTGCTAGGCAGGAGAGTGTGTGCTGATGTATTCCCAGGTAGTAACTCTTAATTACGAGAAACTTATTAGGTGTTCCATTGGTATATTCTGCGATACCAAAAAATCGAAAACTGGATGTTACGTATGCTCAGAACTGTTCAAGAAGAGAGAACTCGTGATACACATTGTTTACAGACACTTTCCTAGCATAAGTTGTGGACTGCACCGTAAAGTAAAAGTACTTTTAGCTTCCTCGCAGAGACTCTACAGATACCTCAGCATCTGCATTGCTGTAGAGGAGTCTCATAGATGTGCACGAGAATGAATGCATCCTCGCTCTGCAGATAGTCTTTTCTATCATTATCAGTGATGGTAAGAAACTCGCCTGTAAACATATTTTAAGGGTATCCAGGTCAAGAAAAGCCAGCTCAGAACCAAGAATGGGTACATCGAAATGTTAAAGAGATTGGTGTTAAAGAAAAGCATTCCCTGTGAAAATTAGAAAGTTTATTAATGGGTTCAGTGCCACTTTTCACCATAGCAACATATCTTGTATGGTAGAACGGTATCCTTTCATTGGAGACATGATAGTGTATTCTGGAACAAAACTAGAGCTGCAACTGAAAATGTTGTCTCTAAGTGAGTGCATCATGTTATGCACGATCTGCATAACTTATTTAGTTCACACAAAATCAGGCTGCGTTCCATGTCCAGCCATACACAGTATCTCTTGCGTTGTTTATTAGACTCAAGCAAAAGATGGCTCACAGCTTCTACTTTTTGGTTAAGCACGAGTCCTCAACCAAGTCCCAGTTTTCCAGAACATCATGTGCAATAAGCAAATAGTTATAGCATCGGCGGTCTAAGTGAAGAATAAATTGTTGCTAAAAACATTGTGCTATCGCAGAAATGAAATAGATCAGACATTGTTATATCAAACCAAAGCACACTAAACACATTGAGAGTGCCTACATTGCAGGGATACCTTGAAAAGCATGAATTTGAGTTTAAGAACCATGATGATAATACACGCCGATTACTGACCACGAACATGCTATGGTATATGTGATCATGGATCGTAGCAAGAAGACTCATCTATGATTAGGAATTTAACCTAAAGTCACACATTACTCGTCTCCATGGACTGTTCTAATGCTTAGTCTGGTTATTTACTTTCACCTCCCATCGTGTTCTATAGTTGTTTCCACCTTTAGTAAGCTACAGCTCGATTATAATTTCATATTCCCACTAGAAATGTGAAAGAAAGAATCTTAACGTCCTCACAGAACATCACTGATACTATATAGAGCAACGTATTGTATTTCTCAGAGTACCTTCTTAATCGAGTAGTGCGGTACTATGCCAATCTTTCGCTGCTCAACGGGAACTATCCCTGTTTCCAACATGAATCTTTATATCCTCTCTTTTAAATTTCAAATACTTGTGACTTCAGATTCAAACCATTTGAGTGGGCATTAAACTACAGTATAGTTCCTGAAGACATAAACCTTAAAATCTAGGGAATAACAGTGAAATCTTAGTGATTATGGAGTTAACCTTGGAACATTCACTCAAACTTCACATTGCACTCAAAATTCTAAATCCATTATCATTACAAAGGCATTGTCTGATTTTTCAGCTTTAAACCCAGAAAACCTTCAAAGGTTAACTTCTCTGCAAAGATCAATACCAGTTCACGAAGAGGAAATCATGCCCTACCAACTAAGTAGTAGGAAGAGTGTGAGAGTCTCCATGATGAGAATGAGCACATGCAGTAGCGGTCTGAATTCTGCAATAATGCATGCTACTGCTAGCATCCACAACAGGGTTGTAGAGGGGACTGGTAACATCACCCACAAAAATGCCCATGTCGGTGCCCACATTAAACCGACCTCACAAGTCCCAATTAACAAACTGAATTTCTTCGAGTCCCTGGTTGAGAGCACTTGAGTTATATGAGGACTATTTGCTTTAAAAACTGCCTGATGACTTCCCAATATGTTATTCCTCTAGCGGCACATTCCCGACTGGTACATTTACCCGCACATGATATGCAGAACTTTATGCTCCGATTTATGTTTTTGAAATAGGAAAGTCTACGTTTCGCATTTCACAAAACCCGAACATGGGCTTTCCGTTCGACGCGATTTACAGCATACATTTCTCTTGTCAAAAGTAACCAGGCTATCCGCTGAAAGCCCTTCAATTCTCAAATTTCATGAAGTTTCTGTCTCCTTTGAAATGACAGAAAAACATGAACATCAATATTCCAGTGACAGAAAAGACTAGCTTCTAACAAGAACATGCCTTGAAAGACAAAGTACGACACCCAATGAATAGTTCTTACATTGACCTTTTGGCAGAGCTCCAAACAGCAAAGCTTCACCTGCACCTGCCTTGATCGGAGGCTACTTATATGTCTCCCCACTCAACTCCCCGGTCCCCGATATCACTTTTGGCAATCTTGTTCCCTCACACGTCACCCCTACTGAACAATTAAAAATTACGGTTCAGAAAAACCCCGTAACAACCAAGACCCAGAATTCTTAGAATAAGAAATCATTCGATTCTTATAGTTCATCTTATGCAATTCAAATCGGAGCAAGGCCGCTGGAAATTCCTACGGCCCAACATTCAAAAACCCTTAACCTAATGCTAACCTTCAGCGCTGGAACCGTCAACGCTCACAAGGAAATGGTACGAAGAAACTAGGTCACGATTTTCTAGGTCGGAATGCCCGACACTCAGTACAGGTTTCAGCTACGTACCACTGTCCATCAAAAGGCATCAAGAAGTGCATGAATGAATTCTCCCACCCAAACCTTCTTCAGCACTGTGTCCTCGTCCAACTTCCAACTTAGATATCTCCAAACCAGCTCTAACTTACAACACAATCGTAAACTTTGTATCAAAGAAAACTCTAAGAAATTGGAAAGGAAAAGCAAATGGGCCCGATCACTTTACTGTATCTGAATTGATCTGAGGATCAAATTACAGCAGAGAAGTTCGATTTCGGAATCACAAAGTCACTTCCTGTTAATAGGCAAAAGGGGCTACTGTATCACCTCGGGACTGATTTGTATCTGGAAAACCAAATTTGGGATCGTATGCATAAAAAATATCATGCTGAGCGCTTCGTGAGTCTAGCAATGTCCGCGAGCTACTTTCATCTGGTGCATGCTCAATGGGTACTTCCTCCATCTCAACAAACCATCCCCAAGTTCTGAAATTTCTTTTCAAGCCAACGAAACCCAATGTTTACATATACAGGAAACGTAACTCATGTGAAAAGTTGATCCAAGACACTTCGTTTTGAAACGAGGTTTGGACTTTGCTGTTCTAGGAGAGGAGGCTGTGAGGGTTATCGTGGCAGATGGTTGCCACAAACAGAAGTAAATCGATGCTGCCTCAGATAAATTTTGCTGCTTCGGTGTGCGAAAAGGGTCTTCGAATACCGCGTCATGTTGTAAAGCAATCGGAGGCCCCTGTGTCGTTTTCTCCTGCAATAATACGGAGCTTGAGATGAAACACTTATCTGGGAGAGGGCTCAAAGAACATTGTCCACTAAACACGAATGCGTCGCTTCATATGCAGCAATGGAGATAGTCACGAGAGGGGTGCTGGGTACCGAGGATGCCATGGGTTGACTAATGGGCGTGCGTGGTGCATGCACAGGATACAAGTTGTCGGGGTAGAGATCCACACCTCAGCTTCTTGGGGCTGCCCCTTTGAATCCGAATAACACCCCGAAGATGAGGACTAGAATGTTTGGTGGCATGTCAGTGAAGCGAAAGTAGCTGGCGCCGACGAGTCGACTGGGACGTTGGAGAGCGACGACTGCTGTAAGTCACACTTGTGGATTGACAAAGTCCGAAGTCAAAGCTAACAATCCACCGCCCATATTTCGACATATGTCGATGACACTTGCAACATTTCATACTATGAAGAGCAAGGAAACCTAATAAAGCGATGCAGCACACCATGTCTGATTGTTTGGGCAGCTGTAGACTTGACCAACACAGCAATTTCAGTAAGCACAAGTGAGTTTCCGAGTTGAAGTCTCTTGGAACACGAGCTGAATAGATTCCATAGTTTCTGGAGGAAAAAACTCAAAGCCATTGCAATAACTGCACACCTGTACACGTGCTGCAACTCCAGACCGAGGCTGGAGGTAGAAATTTGCAAACACACTGCTACATCTTCATCATCCTCTTCACTTCAGGTCCTGGAGTCCAATCTCGTGGAAACGTGGGTCAATTTAGCGTGCGTCGCCTGGAAGCAATACATGCTGCGAAGGTGAATCCGAGCTGGTGTGTAGTTCCTGAATGAGTGGGAGCAACATATCTTCCGCTTCGTGGCCATGTGGGTCCTCCTCCGTCGGTCGACATGAGTGTTGAAAACTCTCTCACTCCCAACTGAACCTCACTCTTGCCCGCTTTGCATCAAGAGCAGAAGTTGAAGGCCAAAGCAACAATACAATGCTAAGCTTGACATGGTCCTTGCAGTTTGTCAAGTACGATGTTAACAGTGAAGCACTGGAATTGTAGTCTGTTGCTTGGAACACGACTTTACTGTTCCTTCACGAGGGCTCTCTCACTTGCTCCTCCGGTTCCTAAACTGTGCTGCCCCATTTTACATTCAAACCCAAATGCACACTGTAAGTCTCTGTAGAGCTTTGCAAAATTTGGTTCATTGCAAAACCATTTTTCGTCCAACGTTCATCTGCAAAACTTTTGTGTATGACAAACACATATACATATTTAGATTCAAAACATGATACTATTGACAGTACACAATATATTCAAACTATATCATCTTAATTTTTCTTAGAAACCCATAAAAACTATAGACAAAACAATTGTTAATTTTATTGCTGTAAAAACTCATTCACTCAATTTTAAAAAAATTTGTAAATGAGTGTGTAAAATATTGCTTGAAATAGTATCATAATGTATGCTATATTATGCACATTATAATATCTATATATATAGATACTATTTTATAATATTATATATATATATATATTATATTCTATTGAGTACCTATATAAATTTAAAATTTTATAAATAACAATTGGAACCATATGGTATTGACAGAAGAATTATAATCTTTGTGGATTGACAAAGTATTTAATAAATATTAAATTATGATATTAAATTGAATGAATTGCACTTATATTTTGACAACTTAATAAAGAGTGGAATAATTTTTTTAATTGATAAATATCAAGTTACTGATAAAAATAAATTAGTGTTCATAAATTTAATATGATTGTTTTTGTGAAACTAATCTCTTGTTCTTTAAGACATTAAAATAAATTAACAAAAAATCCTAGAGTTACGGGCAAAACCAAAGAATTGAAGTTAGTAGGTAGTAATGGTAATAGTAAATAGACTGATATTTATTTTATTTATTAAACCTTGTAGAATTTTTTTTTTTTTTTTTTTTTTTTTTTTTCTGAGATATATATTTTTGTTAGATAGTATAAGTTTGATTTGGATCAAAATGTATATCCAAGCTATGTTACTTTGGTAAATTTTTCTACTTTAAAAAAACAGTTACATAAGATCGACTTTTTTCATATAAACTAATTAACAATCATATCTTAGTAAAGTATGTGGCAATATTAATTGTTTCAATTATTTTTTGTAAATAGCAATCAATTATCAATATAAGAAAGAAATCACATGCTAACATTTTAAAATATCATAATTTTTTTTATCAAAAAAATATAAATAAGTACTTAAATAAATATCCACAATTTGTCAAAATATCAAAACTACCTTTTAAAACAAAGCTTAATATTTTTGAATATATCTTGTTTTTAAATAAGAAGGTTTTGATAATAAATTTTAATTTTAATTTTTTAATCTAATAATAATAGAACTATATATCTAATATCTTTAAAAATAGAAATCTAATAAATTTTTAAAAGTTAATATTCTTTATTAGATATAATAAACAAATATAATAGTAATTATTTGTTAGATATAATAAAAAAATATAATAGTAATTATTTGTTAGATATAATAAACAAATATAATAGTAGTAATTATTTGTTAGATATAATACTAGAATTTGATCTAATCTTATCTTTATTCAACTTTAACTATTATAGGTAATTTCTTCTAATTATTTTGTACCTATTATAAATGAAGACTTATATTTAATAGGCATATTAGGTATATTGATACTATATTACTAAATTTAATAAAAAAAGATTTATTAAAATTTATATGAATTATAAAACTTTTTAAGTTTTAAGATCTAGATTTCTTCAAAATCTTAAGATAAAAAGATGAAAACCTTGTGAATGGCATGGAAAAATCCATACTAGTCTTGAATCATGTCACCGAAATAATCTTAGTAATCCTCCTTCCACAATTTTATATGGATCTCCTTTGTGACAATTATTTTTCTTGCATTCAAAGACTTGTTGGAAAGCTAACAACAAGATCTAGTTTTTCTCAAAATTTCAAAATAAAATGATAAAAATCCAATAAATTGCATAGAAAAACTTGAATTAGTTTGGAATCCCATTGCTCAAATATTCCTAATAACCTCCTCTTACAAATTTGTATAGATCTCTCTTATCATAGATTCTTTTCTTGCATGCAAAGGCTTATTAGAAAGAAAACAATATGATGTAGTTATTTCCAAAATTTCAAGACAAAAAGATAAAAACTTAGTGAATGGCATGGAAAAACTCAAACCACTCTTCAATCTTGTCGCCCAAATATTCCTAATGATCCCCTTCTCTTGAATTTGCATTGATCTCCCTCATCATAGCTCTCTCTTCACTCTAACTCAAAGAAGCCTTATTTGATGTCAAACCTTGTCATAACCTTCTTCCAATATCCACCTTAAACTACTATAGAGCCAAATATGTATCTTAAAATGCAATACTTTTAAATCTTGAATAATCCATTGAAGCAAATAATTTCTTATTCTAAATCCCATTCAAATTTATAAATATATTAGCATTATATTCCTCCCTCTTATAAGTAAAATTAATTGCCCTCTAAATAACTTTGATGCTCTTAAATTAAGTGCATAAGAACATTTATTCTTTCCAAACTTGCACATATTTTGGTATGTGCCAAAGAATTAGATCCCAACACCTGTGTTATCAAATTCTGAGTCATTGTGAGCCATATCATTTTTGAACTATTAATCAAAATATTGAATCTCAAAAGCATCTAAATCTTCCGTATAATTCATCTCATCTTGTCACTTGAAGACTTTAATTTTTTTTTCTCCAATCCTTGTCTTCAATGGTATCCCATCTAACTTTTGAAGAAAATAAATTGCATTATTATGCACTTCAACCACCACATAGGGTCTAATCTAATATTGTGCATACTTACAAAGAGTAGAATATTTGTGCACCAAAGTACTATCATAAACCAAAATCCAATCACCTTCTTTAATTGGCTTAGGCCTCAATCAATGAATTTTATCAAACCTCTCTTTGTTGTTCAACCTTGCCACCTTAAGCCTCTTTGTGAGTCCCACAATTGACTCACTTGTAGGTTTAAACACAAAAGATGCACTTATGGTCCTTAAAGTCATTAGTTTAAGGAGTTGATTGAGGAATTTTGAGATAAATAGCAATTAGTTGAATGTAGTGGCTAAAATAGATCTTTTGCAAAAATTCCTTGAGAAAGAATTCCAAATTATATAGTCTTTTCTCAATTTAGCTAATATAAGTCTTAATGTGATAGTAGTGGTCTTTATGGATACTAAAAAAATTTAAATTATATTAGAAGGTAAGGTAGAATCTTTGATTTAAAAACCATCCAACAAGGACAAAAGAAAGAAAGAAAAAAGAAAAAAGAAAAACAGAAAGAAGAGTAGGAAAGCAAAGAAAAAGAATTAGCAGAAAAAGAAGGGAAAAGGAAAAAAATAAAGAAAAAACGGAAAAAGCAAAAGATTGATGGGGGGCGAAAGGTTGCCCCCGAATTCCGGCAGCCTCTCTACCAATAAGGGTCTGGGCCGCCACAGACCTGGACTCTCTTCTCGTGCGTTTAGTTTTTTTTTCCTGTTCACATCTCACGAGCTCCAGTGCTTCAAAATGAGTTTTTTTTTTTTCTGTTCCTTACACGTTGTGGGAGTGCTGCGGTGCCGCACTCCCCTCTCTTGTTTTTTTTGGTGTATGTTTTGTTTTGGGTCTCCAAGTTTATGGTGGTTGCGGAAGGTCGTCCCCCTCTTTTGGTGTAGTTTGCGGTGGCGGAGCGAGCTGGAACAAGATCCATATTCAGTGGGTGTGATCGACTATAAAGATAACACTCAGGTTGTAGATGCCATCAACCATGGTGACTTACCGTGGAAGTGCTGGCGGTCAGAGCATCGCAAAATTTTCTAGACGTGGGTGCTAAGTGGCAAAGAGAGCTCTGGTTCCTTCGTTGTCTACGGCGGCGTACAACAACCTTGTTCCTTCTTCATGTTGGCGGCTGCTACTTGGGAGCGGAATCTCTCTTGGTTGGTTGTCAATGGGTATTCTATGACTGACTTTGTAATCAGGGATTGCATTGGATAATTTTCGGTGTTGCTGCAGTCGATCTTTTTGCTATGTTCTTAGTGGTGTTCTCAAGTAGGTTGCGGCGGGGAGCGTAGATGCTCTCAGTTGCTCTAATTTTCCATGGTTGTGTTGCAATTCTTGTAGTTCACAATTGATTCTCTTCTTAGGCGACGTTTCGTTCTATTACGCTGTGCTGTGGCAGTACAACGATCTGTCTAGGCTGTTGTGTGAGTTGCTGTTGAAGCCGTCGGACGCCTGGTTCTTGCAAGAATTATGGTTGGAGCCCTGATCTCATCAAGCAGCAGTTCTAAGCAACTTTGTTTCTGCCCCTTTTTGGTTCTGTATTGTAGAAGCTATTCCAGGTAAGAGGCGTAGTGCCACTGAAGTTCGGCTCTTTCTGTCGTTGTTGCTTATGCTTGTGGTGCGGAGTGATTGGCAAAGGTCTCGCAAAGTGCGTTGAGGGTGTATTCACAACATCACATTTGGCTCTGCTTTGGCGTGCTTCGTGATTGGTGATTGATAGTGCTTGAGAGCACCTAGCGCGGTAGTTCGACAAGCTGCAAGTATAATTAAGAGAGCTACCAAGGTTAAGACGGAGTAGAGTGATACAATTCAGACTACATTGCTGGAAGAGGAGTCCATGCACGGTGGTCTGCAATCAAGGCCTACGCTGCCGACGTCCATCCTTCTCCAAACGATTTACAATGCAATTTATAAAGAATGCAGTAGGTATCGAAGTGGCTGAAGTTGAAAACGAATCCACTTGAACTAAAGCCTATAAAGTATTGATTCAGGTGGAGGCTCTTGACGCGGGTGCGATCCATGTGTTTACAATTTCGCGTTAGTTATCCATCATCAGGTTCAAGTAGGCCTTGAAGTTGGCGTTTCCTATCAAGATAGGCTAGGCAATAATCTGGACATCATTGGGTGGTGTATGGTCTGAGTTGGAGTGTCACTAACTCAGTTCATTTATCGTTTCGGTACCAATTCGACACGCGAGTTGAGCTGCAGAGGCTCTCTCGAGTAACAATCAATTTCCACGGTGGTGCTATGGAGCTTTGGAGGGCTTCTATCAACAGGGTTTGACCACATGGGAGCTGGGAAGGAACCGATAAAAAGAGCTAGAAGCATTCAGAAGGAAACATTGCCTGAACAACGTATAATGAAACAGTGAAAGATGGGGTGAATTAGGTTTAAGTTGAATGAACTTAGGGTCAAAGTAGATGAAAAATTATAGATGAATATTGAATTAACTTGGATGATTTTTCATTCATGGATGAGAATTTATTTGTGGATGAAAATTCATTCACAAATGAAGCTTGTCAGTAGATGAAGTTTTAATTTTTGGATGATAATTAATACTACAAAAAAAATATAAAAAACCAAAAAAATATAAAAATATAAAATAAAGAAATAAAAAATAAAAATTATATAGATTTAAATTAAATCATATGAAAGATTGTTTTTTAAGTGTATATTAGTATGAAGGCACATATTCAAAGGAGTTATTTTAGCTCTTTGGAGAACTTCTTAAATACTTAATCAAACGATAATTGAATGCATATTAGAACCTTAAGATAATTCAATTTGTTGTGAATTGGAATAGACTTTTAATTAAGAAAGGATTTATTTTGGTTCACATTTTGATGCATTTGCCAGGAGGAAAGCAGTTCTAATTGTTTGGAAGGCAAGGGATTTTGTTTTATTGGTTGATTTTTGTGTGTAGGATTACCAAGTGGAACACAATCTTAAATTGGCTAAGGAATTTGATTCTTTATAGCAAGAGTTTTTTTGCAAAGGTCATCACTCTCTCTCCTAATAGATTTTTTTTGTTGAGGATAATTTTCTAGTGAATAATAATTATTAGGCTTTTATTAATTTTGCTAATACAAATTGTAGATTGAGAGAAGGAGCATAAGAAGAAAGGAGTGGCATTGATAGCTAGCAAGCAAATAAGTCTCTAAACTCTGATCAATTATTTTCTTCCTTGAATTTTTAATGAATTACTTGAATACAAGGAGCAAGAACTAGGAGTTTGAAGGTAGAACCTAAGAGAAAGATGCAAGAAGAGATAACTTCTTGACCTTCTTATAGATTTTTTGGATTCAATAGAGCCTCAAAATCCTTCCCTTCTCCAATCACATAATGACTTTTTAATTTATTAATTTGGAATTGGTTAGAAGAAAGTCACATATTTTGGAGATTCTTCAATAAGTAACAAGTTGCTTAGAAATATAATTAGGCAAGTTCTTCAACAATATAGTGTGAATTGGTTGCAAAGAATTATTTTTGTAATATAACCTTTGTCATTAATTAAGATAGTAGGTAATTTTCTAACTATCTTATTGTAAAAAGGCAAAAAAAAAAGAAAAAAAGCTTAGGCTTCCTATTGTCTCAATATAGAATTCTTTTTTATAACTAAGATTGCTTAGTATCACTTTTATACAATAATAGTTTTGTATAATAATCAAGGATAAAAAAAAATCTTGCTTGAAATAATGCTCAAGTAAGAAATCCCTCTTTGATTGTTCTTATTCCATTTTCCTTCTCTATCGGAAGGTACTTTAAGTGGGTTTCAGGTGGAGGAGCAAAAATTCAAATTATTGTGGTTTCATGGATAATATTGCATTAAGTTGAATGGTAGATTGATAGTTGTGTAGATGCATTATCCTACTAGATCTAAACAATCCAATCTATTATCCACTATAGAAAACCCTAAAGCCACTATTAAAAAAAATATACCAAAGATCAAACAAGTAGAAACTTAACAACTAAGTAAACAACCTCCACTTTCAATATTAAAAGATGTTCTTGTCTTAAATCCATTTGAAGCAAATCTAGAAAATGGTATTGTATTATGTATGTTCTTACTTGAGAATGTACTAGGCTCTTATAGAAGATAAGTAAAAATACAACAATAATATTACTAAATTTTATAGAATCTTAAATAAACTTTAAATAAATCTTAATAATCTTAATCAAACTTTGATCAATCTAAAATAAATTTAAAAGAAATTATAAAAGAAATACAAAGAAGTCCTAAACTAATCTCAAAAAAAAAAAAGAACAAGAAATCTTAAAGAAATATAAAAATAAACCTTCAAATAAATAATAATAATAATATTTTAAAAATATGAAAAATAGAAACTTTTAAAAGATAATAAATAATCTTAAAAAAATATTAAAAATAAAAACCCTAATTGAATCTTAACCAACTCTTAGGTCAAATCCTAATAAAACCTTAGTAAAATTTTGAATCCTAGACAAATTTTAGATAAATTTTAATCAACATCTACTAACGTTCTAAACCAAATCTCAAGAAAAACCTAATCTTAACCAAAACCTAGACCAAATCCTAAGCCCTAACCAAATTATTGATAAATCCTAAATCAAATCCTATAGCAAAATAGAACCTCAACAAATAATGATTAAATTATTGATATCAATTCAAAATTAACATACTTCTTAATATCTTAGTTACAAATAAGCATAAGAAAGATGAAATTGATCACACTTACTAATTGAAAGAAATGTAAGATAATCCAATCATGTGTTGGGCAACCTCCTACTCTAATCTGAATGTTGAATTTCCAACACCAATATCTCTTTGAATCATTGAATTGCTCTCAAATTTTATTTAAACATTAAAAATTGAGTCTAATATCTACACAAAAAAAATTCACTTCAATCCAATTGATAAATTATTGAAGATCTTAAAAATACTCATTGACCTTCAAACTCTAATTTTTGAGATCTTAATCTACAAAAACCTTTACACATTTTGATTTAATTATTCAATTGACCTCAAAATTTGCACAAATATTTATAACTAACACACTAACACATTTTTCAATATTCACTTGTATACTTACAATAGAACTCAAGAAACCTTCAAATTTGTAAACATATTTTTATTTACAAAATCTAAACCAATCGAGAACATCAATAATTTTAAAAATCCTTCAAAAACTCAATATTGATATAAAACCAATGTCCAAAAATCTCTTCTCCAATCTATTTTCAAATCCCATTTTCAAATATCATATTATATGTATTCTTGCTTAAAAATTCATTGAGTACCTAACTATAGAAGGTAAGTAATAATGCAACAATAATTCTATTAAGTCTAATAATACCTTAAATAAACTTCAAATAATTCCTAATAATGCAATAAAGCTTTAATCCATTGAAATTTTTTTAAAAAAAGTCACAAAAAAATACAAATAATTCTAAAAAAATAATAAAAATAGAAATCTTAATATAACATTAATTAAAATTTTAATTAAAATTTAATCAAATTTTAGATCAAATCTTAGGTTAAATCCTAATTAAAAACTTAATTAAATTTCAATAAAATCTTAGGTCAATCTTAATAAAATTTTAATGAATTTTTAAATTCTAAATAAATACTAGATAAGTTTTAAATAAAATCTTAAGTAAATCATAATTCTAACCAAATCCTAGACCAAATCTTAAATCAAATCTTAATCAAATCCTAGATCTTAAATAAACTCTTAACACATCTTATAGCAAAATAGAACCTCAAAAACTAATAATAAAATTGTTCATATTAACTTAAAATTTGCACACTTATTAAAGTCTTAGTAAGAAATAATTACAAGAAAGATGAAATTAATCATACTTTTTAATTGAAAGAAATATAAGATAATCCAATCAAGTGTTAAGTAGCCTCCAATCTAAATGTTAAACTTTCAATGCCAATATCTCCTTCTTAAACTATTAAATTTCTCTCAAATTTTACCTAAACATTAAAAATTGAGTGTTTTATTCATACAAAAAAAATTCACTTCAATCCAATTGACCTTCAAATTTGCAAATATGTTCTTATTTTTCAAAATCTAGACCAATCAAGAACATTTTTAATTTTGAAAATCCTTCAAAAACTCAATATTAATTTGATTGATATAAAATCAATGCCCAAAAATTTCTTCTCAAGTCTTCTGTCAAATTCTACTCTTTAATCTTTCAAAGAATTCTAGAATCACCGTAGGTGTGTAATTTTATGCCTTAAGAATTGATTTCAATCTAAGTTGACAATTGGTCCTCTTTAAGTATCAATTCTTTGCTTCTTGAGGTAAATTTTGCTAAAATCTAGTCTTAAGTCATTCCTACATATGCTTATAATATTTTATTTTCTAATCTACTTTTATTTATTTATTTATTTATAGTATTTTTATTTATAGTCTTCATTATATTGATTTAGAGTTTTTTTTTTTATCTTATTCAAATTTTTAATCTTTAATTTGCTCCTCTACTTCCATCTCAATGTCTTGTAATAGATTTGTTTAAATAACTTGATTTTTTTGCTTGCTATAAGTAACTTCAATTCTATACCATCAAATTCTTATAAGAAGTATGTTCAATTGTTATATATTTGTTTAATAATATAAGATCTAAACTATCTCTTTGCAAACTTCTTTATTGTACTATGTTGATTGTCTAAGCTACTATCATAAACTAACATCCAATTGCTATCCTCAATTGCCTTAGATTGTACTCAATGTTTTTTTTTTTTATCAAATCTTTCTTTATTTTTTTTCCTTGCTTCTTTCAACATCTCTATTGCTACTTCAATATCATTAGATTTTCTTTTTAATTGCTAAATCTGTAATGCTAAAAATTCTTTTCTATTGAAATCATCCTTCTAAGAAAATACATCCTATGTAGGTACTACCTCATCTATTGGAATTATTGATTTTTTTACATATATTAATTCAGAAGGCATATAATGTATTACTGAATTATGAGTTGGGCAATCAACCCATAGTACAAATAGTAGTAGTTTAGGCCATTCATATGCTTTTCCATTGCATGCCTAAACTAATGCCTTAATAATAAGTAAATATCGATAAACACTCTAACTATTACCTTTTGGATTATACATTGTTGTAAAAAAAAGTTTAATTTCTATTCTATTGAAATAATTTCATGCTTCTTTTATATCCAATTCATTCCTATTAATTATACTTTTTTTAATACAACCATAGCAACAAATAATACCTTCCAATAAAAATTGGCATACACCTTTAATACCATTTGTTCTTAATCCTGGTCTTTTAATGATGTTTAATAAATCTTCTTATGCAAGTATCAAATATTTCATTTGTTCAAGTTCTATAGAAATTGCCACTAAATCCATCACCCACTTATAATATAAAGCTAAAGGATATGTTGGATGTAATCCTTCTTGATGTCAAATATTTGAATATACTTGGCATGTTTTATAAGATCCTACAAAATTTGCTACGTCTTTGTGGATGCCCTTCTAGGAATATTTTTCTTTCAACTTAATAAATATTGTCTACAT